CCTCGCCCCATCGGTGGCGTGATCGTTGGTCGGAGATTGAGGAGGGGAATGAACCACCAACTCCTCTGCAGGACTCACTTGGCCCAATCTCCCGCCCAGATCCTTTCGCGCGTTTCATTGAAGGCACCACGACTCCACTCACTATCATTCCCGATCGCGACTTCCTCGCCCTCTACCTCACAACGGCACCTGCAGAAGGGGAGACAACGGCAGAAGCAGAAGCAGAGGAGCCGGACAACGAAGCAGAACCAGGAGAAGAGGAAGAACCCCCACTCCAGATCCCGCAAGTCACGGAAGCAGAAGCGGCAGAATACCTCGCTCGCTACAAGCGCACTTCCGGCATCCGCGCCGAAGATGATCTCTGGCACCAGCGGCTGGGACACCCCTCGCGCCAGACCATCGCCAACTGCCTCCGCGCTAAAGTCTTTCCGCCAGGAGCACTGCTGCGCCCCGACGGAACAGAACCGCACAACACCTTTCACCCAGTCACCTGCACTGTCTGCCCCACAGCCGCTCTCTCCCACAGCGCCTACCCCTCCCTGGAGCCGAGCACCAACCGCTACAAGAAGTTGGAGAAAGTATACAGCGATTTCATCGTGCTCACCTTCGACGGCATCAACGGCGAGAAATATACCCTCACCTTCATTGACGCCTACTCACGCCATGTGTGGATCGCCAACGTCGACGCTCGCTCCAAGGCTCCGGAAGTATTCCGCATCTTCCTCGCGCACGCGCAGCGCCAGTCAGGAAGGAAGCTGAAGATCTGACAGAGTGATGGGGCTAAGGAATTCCGCAGCAACGAACTGGAGAGTGTCCTCACAGAGAAAGGGATCAAGCATGAGATCTCACTCCCCTACGCTCACCAGCAGCAAGGCGTCGCAGAGAGGGTTAACCGCACCCTCATGACAAAAGTGCGCGCACTCATGAACCAGTCCGGCCTGCCGAAGAAGTTCTGGCCCTACGCCATGAACCATGCAGTGCGCCTGCACAACCTCCTCTCCACTACCGCCAACAGGGACAATCTGTCCCCTCACATGAAGTGGACCGGCTCAAGGAGAGACCCCTCCATGCTAAGGGTCTGGGGGTGCATGGTGCAGTACCGGCCCACATCGGCCACCATCGGCAAGTTCGTTCATCGCGCGCGCTGGGGTATTCACTTGGGCCTCAGTAATGAGCACAAGGGTTGGCTCATCCTCGACATGGACAGCAAGGAGGTTGTTCCCGCGCGTGATATTCTCTTCTACGAGCGGCTCACCTTGAAGCAGTGGATCGAGGACGAGCGACGCAATGAGGCACGCGGCTATGTCAACAGCGGTTGCAGCTTCGCGACTCCAGAAGACGAGGCAGCAGCAGCAGCACTGGACCGCGACGACACCGACGAACACCCAGCATCCCGCCTCGCCCGCGCGACGACGACGATGATGACAGTGACGACGATCCCGCGCCAGGTCCATCACGGCGCCAAGCAGAGGCAAGCACCACAACGCCCGGCTACGAGAGCGGAGATGACGACGTGTTGGAAGTTCCCACCAACACAGACACCACCAATGTGTCCGGCCTACAACTACTCGGCCTACACACGTCCGTCACTACTCTCGCACGGGCCGTGGAGCCGAAGAATCCTCGCCAGGCTCTGACCGGTCCTCACGCCAAGGAGTGGCGTGCAGCGATGGATGCGGAGCTGAAAGCACTGGAATCTCGAGACACGTGGGTCCTAGTCGATCGTGCAGCAGTGAAGGGGAGAAGGGTACTCAGCGGAAAATGGGTTTTTCGCCTGAAGACTAACGCTGACGGAACCATCGAGCGATTCAAGGCACGCTGGGTCGTACGTGGGTACGATCAGCGCCACGGCATCGACTTCGACCAGACCTTCGCTCCCGTCAGTCGTCACACCTCCGTCAGAATCCTACTCGCCATTGCCGCCGCTAAGCACCTACCACTGCGACAGATCGACGTGAAGAACGCGTTTCTATACGCGTTGGTGGATGCCACCATCTTCGTGGAGCAGCCTCACACCTACGGAGAAGGGGATCCTAGAGTCTGTCAGCTGAAGAAGTCCCTCTACGGGATCAAGCAGGCGCCCCGTCTCTGGCAGCAGCATCTGCACAAAATTCTCCTGGAGATCGGTTTCAAGCAGCTGCCGCACGACCCAGGAATGTATCGCCTTCACTTCAGCGGCGATTACATCCTTCTGACAGTCTACGTCGACGATCTGCTGTACACGGGCACCTGCAACAAACTCCTTAACCAGTTTGAGGAGAACCTGGCGCAGCGCGTGGACATCACTATCAACCACAACGTGAAGCAGTTTTTGGGGCTGAACATCACCTACGCGCCAGAAGCAATTCACCTGTCAGCCTCCAAGTACGCAGAGCAGCTGGGGGAACGCTTCAACATCTCACCAGCACCACTCTCAACTCCCTACCGCAACCCCAGCGCCAACTACAAACCGGACAACAAACCTCTGTCACCCACAGGACTCCAAATGTACCCGCAGAAGTTGGGGTGCCTGCTATTCGCCTCTGTCACCTGCCGACCCGACCTTTCGTACATCGCTAGCCAGCTGGCACAATATTCCCGCAAGCCAGTAGCTGAGAACCAGCTAGACCTGGAGCGCGCCCTGCAGTACTTCATCTCTACACCTGACATTGGGCTCTCCTACTCCACGCTGACAACGACCTCCTTCAACCTCAACGGCTACGTGGACGCAGATCATGCAGCTGACCCTGCAAATCGACGGTCCCGAACCGGCTTCCTTTTTCGCTTGGAACCAACTGGGCCAATCTCCTGGAACTCGCAGAAACAGGAGCTGGTTGCCCTGTCATCGGCTGAAGCAGAATACATCGCCGCGACAGCAGCAGTTCGCGAAGGCCTGTACCTACAGGAGCTGCTACAGGAGGCGAAAATTCCAACTTCGCCAATCTTTCGCCTCCACTACGACAACCAGAGTGCCATCAGGATCGCGAACAAGCCAGGTTTCGTGAATCGCACGAAGCACATCGCACTCCGGTACTTTTTCGTCAAGGATGAAATTGACCAAGGAAAAGTTGACCTCGCCTACTGCCCGGCTACTGAGATGGCAGCAGACTTCCTCACCAAGCGCCTGCCACGTCAGCAGTACAAGCACTACTCTGACCTCACCGGAGTAGTCAAGCGAGTCAGCTCCTCCTGCGCACAGGAATGAAGGGGAGTGTTACGATATGAAATTGTATGAGTAGGCATTCCTGTATGCTGCAGGAGCCGACTCTACCGAGTACGAAGTCGAGGAGTCAGAAGAGTCGAAGCGTCGCAGCAACCGTCTGACCAAGACCGATGCAGGCAGAAGCATTTGAAGTGAAAAGAGCGGGAACAGGTTTGAAACAGGTTCGCGCGCCGCACGGTTTGAATTTCGCTGCAATAAGGGAATGTACCCCTTAGAGTACATGGCTAGTCTAGGTCTTTTCGTATTCCCCTGTATTCTTATATAAACCCGATGCATGCATGCTTTTATCAACTCAGTCATTTACATTCACTCTGACCTGAGATTCAAACTTCCGCTGCCTCACTACTCTGCGATCAACCCTGAGCGATCCTTCGCTAAGTCCCACTTGGGATTGTAACACCCTTCATACTCCAACACAGTCTAACAAACAAAGTTACCCGAAGTAATCAGGGTGGGCCAGGCTGCAACACTGATTAGCCAGGGTGACCCAAAACCATTTTTTGGGCCCTGCCTTGTACTTTCTTATTATTATCAATTCTTCTTCTCACTATTAAAAGCACAGGAATTCCAATCTTCCGCTGCATTGTCTTCACAAGGACTAATCTCTAAAAGATCCTAGGGCTTCACGTCAGTCCAATAGGTTGCAATTGCAACATAAACGTGTGATTCAAACTTGTGCTACCTTGCGACTTTAACATGTTTTGCAATTGACATCTGGAAACCACAGAGGTTCGGGACCCAAAGTGTTAACACCTCCCTTCTCAGTTTGTAAATCAGGTAGCCGGTCGTAGGGTCTCAAATACAGGGGATTAGAGTAATTTGAGCACTCTCTTCCATAAGAACTTTAAATATCCTAACCTGTGTTACATTCGCAATGTCGCTTCCGTCGCACATTCAATCACGAACCTGCCGATTTTGTCGCACACAAACCACGCACCGAACCAACAGATCCTCCCTCGCCCAGACGACTGGCGGAGCTAACCTGGACTTGTTCCGCCATTTGCTCCTCTATCTCTCAGCTTCCGCCAACCTCGCCTTCCGCCACGCACCCTCGCCACACCGCTCCCTCCCGCCCTTTGCTCACTCGCGAGTCATGCCGAACGGGACCAACTCCTCCCTCGTGGTAACCCGCCCGCCACTTCCCCTCTCGCCGATTTCTCCCGCCCTCTCCTGTCCCTTGGTGCCACTTCTCCTTTCTCCGACCCCGCCATCCCATTCATCCCATCGCGAGTCTCGCCACGACCGTTGCTGCCACCTGTGCGTCTTCACTCATCTTTCGGACCCACGTCGAGAGTCGCGCAGAGCCAGCCGCATATTTCAAATTGCGCACCGCCCGGGCAGTAGTGTGGGGAAAGCATCGCCATCGACAGGCGCCGTGAGCACTGGGTGCAGTCGCGAGTGCTCCTTACCACTTCACGTTCGTCGCGCTCCAGGAGCCTCAGCACAAGACCCTCGTTTTTGCAACTTTCGGTATAGGAACCATCGACTTAGGAGCCTAGGACTCTCGATATAGGACTCTCTCTATACGACTTTGATGTAGGACCCTTGTTAGAGGACCCTAGGTATGTGACCCTCGGTACAGGACCTTTAATACAGGGACCCCGATATAAGACCCTCCAACTACGACCGCATTTACGACACCTCGATATAGGACCGTTGATAGTGGGCCCCTCGGTACACGAACCTCGGTATAGGTCAACAGTTCCAAGTGCTAACGCTGCCTTTACTCGGCATGTGCGTGCAACGGCTGTAATTGCGCGGGCAGCGACGTGCCTCACGACTCCCCGTGCGCGCCGCCATGGGGTCCGTGGAGGAGGCGGGGGGGCGGCAGGTGGACCTCCGCCGAGCGGCGTCGGCGGGCGTGCTGCAGGCGGAGGACCGCGCGCACGCCGCGGCGGACGCGCTGCAGCAGCACCGCGCGGACCAGCAGCAGCAGCAGCCTGCGGCGCGCGCGCTGCCGGGGTGGTCGACGCGGCTGATCGACTACTTCGTGGTGTGCGGGCTGGGCGCGGAGGTGCGCACCATGGACGGGCAGCGCGGCTTCCACGGCGTCACGGCGCGCGACGGCGACCCCATGCTGTACCAGCCGCAGATGACGCCGCTCGACTTCTACCCGCCCAAGGAGCACAAGAAATTCGGCGTTCCCGAGGGCCTCCCCATGGTGCGCCGCTCCGCGCGCCCACACGGCTTTCCATGCGCCCAACCAACCACCCCCCCCCCCCCCCGCCTTCACCCCCCACCCCCCCGCGCCCTTTCCTTCCCGCGTTCCCTTTATTCGCCACCCTGTCACCCCCCTCGCCCCTCGCCCCACCTTTGGCCGTTCGCATGCGTTGTCTTCTCGTGGTTCCCCTCCTCTCCTCGTATCTCACCCACTCCCTCTTCTCTCGCTCCCCGCCTGCCTCCCACTCCACCATTCTTGCTATCCCTCCCTCCCTCCCTCCCTCCCTCCCTCCCTCCCTCCCTCCCTCCCTCCCTCCCTCCCACCCTCGTTCTCTCACCCTTTTCCTCACTCCTTCCCTTCCCCCTTTTCCCCCTTCCCTGCTTCCGTTTCTCCCTCTTTCCCTCCCTCCCTCCCTCCCTCCCTCCCTCTCGTCTCTCCCCACCCCTTTCCTCGATCCCCTCCCCTCTCCTCCCCTCCCCTCTCCACGTCCACTCTCCTCCCCTCGCCTCTCCTCCCCTCGCCTCTCCTCCCCTCCCCTCGCCTCGCCTCCCCTCTCCCCCCTTCTCCTCCCCTCCCCTCCCCTCCCCTCCCTTCCCCTTGCCTTCCCGCCTCGCCTCCCCTCGCCTCGCGGCGTGGCAATGCACCTTCCCCCTCTCCCCCTCCGGCTGCGCAGGTGGTGATGCCACGGGGGCTGCGCTTCTACGAGAGAGGGCCGTTTTCCGGTGACAAGAGCACTCAGCCGCGCTCCTACCCCATGGTCATCACAGGTGGGTGGGTCATCACAGGTGCGTGGGTCGTCACAGGTGCACGGGCAGCACAAGTGATGATGGGATAAGGCATTTGGAGCACCAGCATCCAACGAATACGAAGGTGGACCCTGGAGTGCATGTCAATGCTAACCGAACCTAGCGGCGTGGTGGTTGCCATCTGGCTCGATATGGTTTCATGTTCAGGCTCGAATGAGCCATGGCATACGAGGCACCTCGCTCTGACGTGTCTTCCAGCATCACTCTCATCCCCGCCCGTTACCCTGTAACCCAGCATGCACTTCAGCTCTCGCACATTTGGCCCATGACGGCATGGGATGGGATGGGATGGGATGGGATGGGATGGGATGGGATGGGATGGGATGGGATGGGATGGGATGGGATGGGATGGGACGGGACGGGATGGGATGGGATGGGATGCCCTGCGTTGCCAATTGCTTGCTGCTCGCTCCCCACACCAAGCTCCTCCCTCTTCCCAATGTTCCGCGCTACCCCCCTTCTCCCCTCCCCTCCCAACCCCCTTTGTGACAGACACGGTGGGCACGAAGGTGTATGTGACGGTGGTGGCGTTCCGCGACCCGGTGGAGGAGGACGAGTTTTGAGTTGACGCAAGAAGAGTCACCTTGAGCACACCAACACCGTCCTCCCCCCTCCCATTTGTTGTGTTGTGCGTCCCTTCCCCGTGCCCGTGTTCCATGCCCCTCTTGCAGACACGGTGGGCACCAAGGTGTACGTAACAGTGGTGTCGTTCCGGGACCCGGTGGAGGAGGACGTGGCGGAGGCCTATGGCATCCCCGCCACGCTCTATGTGGACAAGTGCCTGTGCCTCGTGTCCCACTGGCCCTTCTTCCACACCTTCACCCAGGCGCTCGAGGAGATCCACCGCATGTGCTTCTGTACTGCTGGCTGCACGTGAGGCCGTAGGGTCAATGGGGGGTCAATGGGGGGTCAACGGGGGGTCAACGGGGTCAATGGCAGGGCGTTGGAGGAGATCCACCGCATGTGCTTCTGCACCGCATGTGCTTCTGTACCGCATGTGCTTCTGTACCGCATGTGCTTCTACACGGCATGTGCTTCTGTACCGCTGGCTGCACGTGAGCCCGTGGGGAAGAGGGAGTCAAAGGGGTCTTTTGGGGTCAATGGGGGGCAACGGGGGCAGTTGGGAGTGGGTGCCAGTGAATGGGGTCAATGAGGGGACCACATTGTGGACAATGGGGGCAGGCAGAGGGTTGTGAGAGGGATGAATGGGGTCCATGGTGGGGCAGGCCGTGCCTTCATCGCAACACTGTAAGTGCCCCCCAATATTGCCCTGTGGGAGCTGCTACAGCACCCCGTGACGCCCGTGCCGCTGCCCGACCACCACCCCTCATCCACCTCCTTCTCCTCCCTCTGCTCTCCCTCTCCTCCCCCTCCCCCCCACAGGCAGCCGGTGTGGGAGCTGGTGCAGCACCTGGTGACAGCAGTGCCGCTGCCCGACCCCGGGCGGCGCGCCGTGGTGTTTTCTGTTGAGAAGTGCCTGCTCTTCTGCGAGGCGCCCCCTCCCGCCACGCTGCCCGCCGTGCAGGTGCGCCACCTAGGGGCATGAAGGAATGGGGGCATTCGAGCATGGGGGGCTGAGGGCATGGGGGGGCCGGGGGACATGGGGGGCCGGGAGCATGGGGGCCAGGCGGGAGGCGTGGGGCGCCTGGGGCATGGGGGGTGGGGTACGTGGGGGGCTGGGGGCGTGGGGAGATGTTGGGTGTGCAGTCATGGGGAGCATAGGGGCAGGAGGGACCTGGGGGCGTGGGGAGATGCACTACTGCCCGTGTGGATAACAGGAGCACAGGAGTTTGTGAGGCTTGATGAGGCATGGTGACGGGTGATGATGGGCAGTGAGGTGAGGGGGTGTGATGCATGGCGTGAGAATAGTTCCAGCAGCACTGCCCTTGGGTCCGTAGGTATGGCCGCGCGCGGGTGCCTCCCCCAGGGTGAGACACACCCATCCTCGTGCATCTCTCACACACACCCATCCTCGTGCATCTCTCACACACACCCATCCTCGTGCATCTCTCACACCTGCTCTCCGCGCTCCCCTCGCGTTATTGCCGCCCGCTCTCTGCTTTAAGCTGATTGCCTTTTGCTTCCCCCCGTGCCACTCCCACATGTGCTCCTGTGTCTGTGGTGTGGCCGCACGGCACGGCGTGGCGGGGCACGGGGCGTACCAGCTGTCATTCCATCCACTGGTGCGCAGCCTGGATGTGGACAACATCATTCTGCTCGTCACCGCCGTGCTGCTCGAGAAGCGCATCCTCCTCCGCGCCACCCAGTGAGTGCGCCACCCAGTGAGTGCGCCGCCCCACCAGTTAGTGTGCCACCCAGTGAATGTGCCACGCAGTGTGAGTGCCGCCCGCTCGGTCAGTGCGCCCACCTCACCTCAACCCTCACATCACACCCACCTACTGGGAGAGTGTCGGAGAAGCCACCGGTGCGGTGAGTGCTGATGGATGCGGTGAGTGCTGATGGATGCGGTGATGGATGCGACCACAGCTGATGGATGCGGTGAGTGCTGATGGATGCGGTGAGTGCTGATGGATGCGACCACGGCTGATGACCTCCACTTTTTCCAACTTTGCCTCCCCATCCCTGCTCGCTCATCCCCATCCCCTTTTAGCTCCTCATTGACTCCACGCACATCCCTCCCCCCCGCTGAATTCGTGCTCTGGTGCCCCGTCTCTCGCCCTCTCTGTGTGGCGGTGCAGGTACGAGCTGCTGACACTGGTGGCGGAGTCTGTGTCGCACCTCATCTACCCATTCAAGTGGGCGGTGAGCCGCTCGCACCGCACACCACCGCTCTGCACCACCATGGGATTGGGATAGACGCATACATACATGCCACGCATACATGCACGTACACTAAAGATGCATGTTCATGACCGTGTGACCCTCTTTCTTTGAAACCCCTGGTTACCACTTACTCCTCTCCTTACTACCCACTCCTCTCCCCTCCCCACCACCCCCACTTACCTCCGCGCCCCTCCCCCCCGCAGTACCCCTACACGCCCGTGCTGCCACTCAACAAGCTGGAGCTGGTGCACATGCCAGGAAGCTTCCTGTTTGGCATCGTGCCCACGCGGTGGACGGACCACGACCTGCCGGGCGGGGTGAGAGAGGTGGCAGCGTTCACGGGTCGGGGTTTAGAGAATCGAGGTTCAGGGCTGCGAGTTATGTGCCGTGATGCATGGGTGCCACGCCTAGTTGTGGGCAGCCGCACCGGGTGCGTGTGACGGTGTGATGGCACAGCAGCAGCTGATGAGGCCAGATCCATCGACGCCCCCACGCCTGCTCTCATGCACCTCCCCTCGCCCTCGCCCTCCCCTGCCTCCCACGTGATGACATGTCATGCTGCTCACCCATGCGCGTCCAACCCTCCTCCCGCCCCACTTGCCCCTGCCCCCCCCCTTCGTGTGTGCGTGCGTGTGTGTGTGTGTGTGTGCGTGTGTCTCCCTGTGTGTGCACTGCATCAACCGCATCGCAACGCCACCAACCGCATCCCTGTGGTGATGGTGGTGGACCTCGACGCCACCAACCGCATCGCCATCACCACCAGCTGCACTCATGCACCTCCCCTCTGCCTCCCTTGCCTGCCATGTGATGTCATGCTGCTGGTGCACATGCACCCCTCCTCCTCCTGTGTGTGTGCATGGCAGGTGATGGTGGTGGATCTCGACGCCAACCGCATCGCCATCACCACCAGCGGCTACGACGACGACGGCGACACCATTCCCCCGCTGCCCGAACCCGAGAACACACAGGTGCGCGCCCTGGGGGGTAAGGGGATGTGGGGTTGGGGGACAGGAAGGTGAGGGGATGAGGGTTGCAGGTTTGCCCGCCCCTCTACCGTACTAATCCCCTCCGTCCCTCACCCGAGCCTGCAGGTTCGGGAAGCGCTGCTGCAGCTGGTGGCGCCGGACCTGATGGCGTTGGACCAGGCGCGCACGCGCGACTTCACCTGCGACCTGCACAAGTTCCGCCGCCCCTGGGGCCGCCTGCACGACCGCGAGATCCGGTGAGGGGGGGGGAGAGGGAATGGAAGGGGAACTTTTGTGTGGTGAGGTGATGAGGTATGGTGAGGGCGCACGACCGCAAAATTCTGTGAGGCCAGGGGAGGGGGGACGTGCTGTGACTCGGTGGTGGAGGGGGTATGAGAGTGAGTGAGCATGATGGGTGCTGTGCTGTGCTGTGCTGTGCTGTGCTGTGCTGTGCTGTGCTGTGCTGTGCTGTGCTGTGCTGTGCTGTGCTGTGCTGTGCGGTGCTGTGCTGTGCGGTGCGGTGCGGTGCTGTGCTGTGCGGTGCGGTGCGGTGCGGTGCGGTGCTGTGCTGTGCTGTGCTGTGCAGTGCTGTGCTGTGCTGTGCGGTGCGGTGCGGTGCGCGGTGCGGTGCGGTGCGGTGCGGTGCTGTGCTGTGCTGTCGTGTGTGCAAGTCCTGCTCTCGCTCTCCACTGCCTGCCTCCTCACTCTCTTGCCTCCCTGCCCTCCCCTCTGTGCCCTCCCGTCCCGCCTGCCAGGTTAATCTTCTTTCGCTTCTTCGCCTCCATCCTCTGCAGCTACAGACATTTTGTGGTACGATGCGGTGTGATGCGGTGTGATTCGGTGCCATTCATAATAATCGTGCCATGCGGTGCCATTTATCATGATGCGGTGCCATTTATCATGATGCGGTGCCATTTATCATGATGCGGTGCCATTTATCATGATGCGGTGCCATTTATCATGATGCGGTGCCATTTATCATGATGCGGTGCCATTTATCATGATGCGGTGCCATTTATCATGATGCGGTGCCATTTATCATGATGCGGTGCCATTTATCATGATGCGGTGCCATTTATCATGATGCGGTGCCATTTATCATGATGCGGTGCCATTTATCATGATGCGGTGCCATTTATCATGATGCGGTGCCATTTATCATGATGCGGTGCCATTTATCATGATGCGGTGCCATTTATCATGGTGCAGTGCCATGCAGTATGGAGCTGTTTCTTCTGGTGGCCTCGTTTGTTGCTCAAGCCATGCCGGCGCTATCCCCTGCATCACTGCCTGCCATGCTGCCCCATGCGTGTTCCATGCTCGTGTGCTGGACGGCACCCACTGGGCTGTGTCAACTGCCTCTGCGCTCACTTCCTCTTCCCACTCCGCCACTCTTTTCACCCTGCACACCCCCTTCCCCCCTCGCTCCCTCGCCCCCTGTGCGCGTGGCCCGTGACCGCGCAGGACAAGGCAGTGGAGCCATCGGGGCACATCAAGTCGACGTTCAACAAGGCCAGCTTCTTCCGCAAGCGAGCCAAGGTCACCGGCAACACAGACGAGCCCCTCGTGAGTGCCACACTGGAGTGCACACGCAGTGCTGGCACGCACGCCCATGGGCCATGCCTTGCATTGCCACATGCAACGCTGCCACCTGCTCCTAGGCGCCTCTGTCATCAAGAAATCACACCCCCCCCACCCCCCCCGTTCACACCCCCACTGCACGCCCCTCCCTGCACGTCCCCCCCGCCTGCACGCACAGATATCGGAGCTGCTGCACACGCAGTGCTGGCAGCAGTTCCTGGACGGCAGCAGCAGCGGCGTGGTGTCATTCTTTGACCGCGCACTGGTGGAGCTGGAGGCGCTTGACATCGCCACCGGGCCCGCCATGGCGTCTGTTGACCTCACTGACGATGACGGGGCGCCTGAGATTGTCACCGTGCCACCACCCACGCCCAAAGGTGCGCGCCTGTGCACCTGGAGGGTGTTTCCGTGCAGTTGGGGGGGGTGTGGTGGGCAAGGCAGCAGGCAGCAGGCAAGCAAGTGCAGTGGCGACGGCTTGTGTGCTCTGAGAGAGCAACCAGTCTTCTCTCGCCACACCTTCCCCTAGGAAACCCCTTCCCCTCTACACCACCGCACCGCACCTCCTTCCGGCTTCAGACACACTTCCCGCTATTCCATTCTACCTTGCGTGCTCTCTCCCCATGGCAGAGCGGGCAGGGGTGCGGTACACGCACTGGGAGTACCCTCATTAGAGCGCAGTGCAGAGGAGAAGCAGTTTTTGAGACGCCCCAAAAACCCTCTGTCCCGTTCCTAACACGCTCCATTGCTCCCCACCCCGTTCCATTCTCCCCACCATGGCAGAGCGGGCAGGGGGGCGGTACACGCACCGGGCGTTCCCCTCGTTGGAGCGCAGTGCGGAGGAGAAGCAGCGGCGCTACGAGTTCCTGCAGCAGGTGCGCCTCGCCGCCGACGCCCAACACCACTCCGAGGCGCGCCGCGTCGTCAGGTGAGCTGCGGTGCTGTGCGGTGTGTGATGAGGCGGCCGTGGCAGATGTGATCATGTGAAGCAGCACAGTGGGGTGTGCCGCGTGGGGAGGTGCAGGGCGTGCAAGTGGGGCAGTGCACAGCAGTGCGTGGGTGGTGCCGTGCTGTGCAGGGGTACTGCTGGGGGATATGGCAGGGGCAGGTTGGAGGGGGAGTGGGCGTAGCAGTTGTGAGGGGGTTGGGGGCAGGCCACGTCAATGTTGAGTCCATGCTCCTCATCCCACCTCTCACCTCGCCACCACACACACACTGCTCACCATCATCCTCCCCGCACCTTCCTTGTATCGCCTTCCCCCCCTTCCCTTGCACCTTCCTTCGCCTGCCACCTCTCAACTGCCACTCTTTCCCCTCTCTGTGTCCCCCCTCTCCGCCCCTGTCGTCCCGGGCGCCCCTCCGTACATGCGGCGTGGGCATGCACATGGGCGGGCGGGGGGCAGTTCGGATGTGGAGGAGGCGGTGGTGCTGGAGGAGAGGAGCCGCGGCACCAACCGCCTGCGCGAGCAGGAGGTGTGGAGGGGAGGGGGGAAAGGGGGAGGGAGGGGTTGGGGTGTGAGGGGAAGGGGTGTGTGGTGGTTGGAAGCATGGCATTGCGTTCCAGTTGCTTTCTCCCAGCAATGGATTCGTCAAGCAACCACGCTCATGCCTACTGGCCCCCTTGCTGCACCCCTCATTCTTCCCTCTCGCTCGCTCTTGCTTCCATCATCGCAGCCTTCCTTTCCCATCCCCTTCCTTCCCCTCTCCCCCCTTCTCATCTCTCATTCTGCTCCCTCCCCCCTCACCCACTCATCACACCCTCCTCGCCTTTTCCCCATTTCGTTCCCCGTGCCGCTCTCAACCCCTCTGAACTTGTATGTATGCCGTCCTCTCCCCATGGCGCCCCCCCACCAGGAGCGGGATGCCATGGTGGGCGCCATCAAGGGCAAGTTCTCCGTGAGTGCCCCCCTCGCGCCTCCCCCTCGCCCCCTGTCCGCCACACCACTGCCGTGCTCTCGGTTGCTCCACTCCCTCGCACCCCTGCCCACTTTGCCATGCATGCTCTGCTGCCTGCCCTGTTCTCCGTCACACCACTTCAGCACGTACTCTTCTTCCCAACCCCTCATGCCCCTGCTGCTGCCTCACTGCCTGCGCCTTCCACGTTCCCCTGCCCCCTGCCCCCTGCCCCCTGCCCCCTGCCCCCTGTCCCCTGCCCCGTGCTCCCTACCCCCTGCGCCCTGCCCCCTTCCCCCTTCCCCCTTCCCCCTTCCCCCTTCCCCTTTCCCCCTGCGCCCTGCCCCCTGCGCCCTGCCCCCTTCGCCCTGCGCCCTGCCCCCTACCCCCCACCCCCGGGGAGCAGAAGCTGTGGGACCAGCTGCTGGCGCTGCCACCCGACGAGGAGCCACTGTCATCGCGCGAGTACGGCACCATCTACGGTGAGATGCTGTGTGTGTGCGTAGTGGCCCATGGCATGGCCGTGCACGGGCAGCAGGAGCAAGGACGCCATGACCACTGCCCCCAGCAGAGGCTCCTTCCCCAGCAGCATGTCACACTGGCGCCTTCACTTGCTGCACTCGCACTTGCTCCCTTTCCCATATGCTCCCTCTCTCACCTCTTCTCATGACCTACCTCTTCTGTGGTACCCCCTTGCTTGTCCTCGTCGTGCCATGTCTCTGCCTGTGTCGCCTTCACCATTTCTCACTTCATGCTCCCCATGGCCCCGATGCCCCCATGTCTACTTGCCCCACTTCCCTCGTTCTGCTCCTCACCATCCTTAACCTTCTCCACCCTTGCCTCGCTCGCTCATCCTCACTGCACCATACCGCACTGCACACCTGTGGGGCATGGCAGCGATGATGGAGGACGAGGATGGAGTGGGGAGCTCTGGCTTCATGGAGGTGCTACAGGACAAACTGCACTCCATGGTGGGCGGCACTCAGTCCAGAATGGGCGGCATTACCTTAGCATGAACGAGTGGATTCAACGAGCCATGTACACCTGCTGCTGCATGCCACCATGTGGACGCTTACCGCTTGCATGCCACCATGTGGACGCTTACCTCCTCACATCTTCTTCCCCTTCCCATGCTCACGCCCTTCCCCTCTCTCCCACGTTCACAGCTTCTCCCCACCTTCACTGCCGTGCCCCCCCGCCTGCACCCCTTCTCTCTGGCCCATCCTCTGCTGCTGCGCTGCGCTCTCCTCTCCCCTGCGCCTCTCGCCCCTCTGTGTGTGCGTGGCAGGCGTGGGGAGGCGAGCTCAAGGCGGACCTCTTTGTGGCCGTGCGCGAGCTGGTAAGGGCGTTGGGCGCTGCCTCTAGTGGTGCTGGGGAATGGGTGGCAGGGGGGACGGGGGACGGGAGAAGAGGATGGATAAGAGGGATGAGAAGCGACGGGCTGTGTGTCGCATGAGTTGAAGCGTGGAGGCGAGTACTGAAGCAGCTGTGCATTCCCCTCCCCAGGCTCATCTTGAGCCTCACACTCACGCACTCGCTGCTTGCAACATTGCTACTCCCTCCCCTCCCCTATCTCCCCGAAGTCATCACCCCTCCCTCTTCCCCCCACCCCCCAGGTGGTGCTATCAATATCACGGGCCGCCATGCGCAGTGACATGCAGTCGGTGCTGGCGGCATTGGAGCTGGCGGGGGCGGTGCACCAGAGGGACGGGGCAGGCCACAAGGACACTGTGCTCAGACACATCGGCGCCCTGCCCATCTGGAAGGACTTCCGGTGCTGCCCCGCTGCCCTTGTTGCCCTGCTGCCCTGCTGCCCTGCTGCCCTGCTGCCCTGCTGCCCTGCCTGCTGCTGCCATGCTGCCCTTGTTGCCGAGCACAACCCTATCGCACCCTTCGCACACGAGTTCGCCTTTTCTGCAGCATATCTTGTCAACTTGCATCCCGTGGTGCTCTTGCTGCTGCTTTTCTCGCTCCGTCTCCCATGTGCTCCGTCTCCCATGTGCTCCGTCTCCCATGTGCTCCGCCCGTTATGGGGTCTCACATCCATGCATGCTCTCATTCTCCCCCGCTGCCCAGGCCGCACACACACCTGCCACCACACGGCGCATGCCACCTGGTGCTGCCTCCTCACCATCTCGCACCCCCCTCTTGCCTCACACTCCCACCGCCTTTCATGCCATTCTAATCTCGCACCTTCTTTCCCCCTACCGCGTCCCACCACCCCTCACTGCACTGGTGTGTGCGCGCAGGTTTTGGAAGACATATCACGACACGCAGCTCGAAGTCAACCCCGACTTGTACGCCCTCCACTACCCCCTCGCTCTTACCTGCGCCCTGCTCTCCCTGCTTCCCGCGTACCCTGTTGCCGCCCCCCCCCCACCCCTGCATGCTCTCATCACCACCAGGCCGCTAGCCCTCCGTTACTCCGTATATCCGCCCCTTCTCTCCCCATCTTGTTGCTTCGTTTTCCTTCCCTGTCCTCGCCTCCCCGTCCCCTCCCGTTTCCTTTCACTCACCCTGCTCTTTCAACCGCACCCGTCCTCTCTCGCCCGCTGCGCTGTGCTCATGGCATCCATCCCTGCATTCTCTGCTGCTTGCATGTGTGTGTGCATGTGTGCGGGTTGCATGTGTGGATATGTGTGCATATGGGTGTATGGCTGGATCCCCCCCCTACCGCCCCCCCCACGGCACCGCACAGTGAGGGCAAGGTGGCGGATCTGGTGCAGCAGCTGCTGGGGGGCCTCGCTCAAGTCATGGTCAGCCCCTCCCCTCCCCTCCCCTCCCCTCCCCTCCCCTCCCCTCCCCTCCCCTCCCCTCCCCTCCCCTCTCCTCCCCTCCCCTCCCCTCCCCTCCCCTCCCCTCCCCTCCCCTCTCCTCCCCTCCCCTCCCCTCCCCTCCCCTCCCCTCCCCTCCCCTCCCCTCCCCTCCCCTCTCCTCTCCTCCCCTCCCCTCCCCTCCCCTCCCCTCCCCTCCCCTCCCCTCTCCTCCCCTCCCCTCCCCTCCCCTCCCCTCCCCTCCCCTCCCCTCCCCTCCCCTCCCCTCCCCTCCCCTCCCCCTCCCTCCGCTCCTCGCCACTGCTCCTCTCACCTCCGTCCTCCCACACTCTCCGTGGGCCTTCTCTCATGGACGCTCCTCTCATCTCCGCTCTCACGTCGCCCCGTCTTCCCTCGACTTCTCACATCATACCATCTCGCATCATGCCATCTCGCATCATGCCATCTCGCATCATGCCATCTTGCATCATGCCCATTTCTCACTCCACTTGTCAGCTCGTCTCTTCCTCGCCCCTCTCAATGCCTCTGCCCCACCCACCCGTCGTCCCCTACCTGTGCACGGGGGCGTGAGCAGGCGGAGATGGGGCTGGTGGACGGGGACGCGTGGGCCATGCTCGAGGTGCTCTCCAGCCGCCTCAGCCTCAAACGCCAGGTGCGCTGCTCAGCCTCAAACGCCAGGTGCGCTGCTCAGCCTCAAACGCCAGGTGCGCTGCTCAGCCTCAAACGCCAGGTGCGCTGCTCAGCCTCAAACGCCAGGTGCGCTGCTCAGCCTCAAACGCCAGGTGCGCTGCTCAGCCTCAAACGCCAGGTGCGCTGCTCAGCCTCAAACGCCAGGTGCGCTGCTGGCAGGGAAAAATGAGGGATTAAGGAGAAGGACTGATGCCATGGAATGCAACACGGGTATACACAGGAGAGGGCAGTGGGATCACCCTCGGTCGGTCTCACAATGACTTCACGTCCATGCATCGGGATCAGGTGTTGCGTCTGCCATGGATATTGTTCATCTCCCTCTTCTTCCCCGCTCCGCCACACTCCCACGCCATCGCTCACTCACCTCTTCCCCGTATCCTCGCTCCCTCTCTCCGCCCCCCCCTGCCTGCTCTCCCCTCCCCTCGCCGTGCGTGCCATGCCAGATAGTGCTGCGAGGGCAGCTGGCGTTGCTGCAGCGCGCGTGGCAGTACTACCCACTCTCGCCCACCTCGCCTCTCTTCTCCGCCACCTTCGCCCGCCACACTCACGCCGCCCCGGGCACCATCGAGGAGGGCGGCGGCGAGGGCGCGGGCGGCGGCGGGGCGGGCGGCGAGAGCCAATTGACAACGGCGCTGGGGACGGCGGCGGGGCGGTGGATGAGCACGCTGGGGAACCTGAACCTCGGCAACTTCCAGAAGCAGCAGCAGGACAAACTGCTGCAGGGGGGCGGCGGGTCTCAGCGCATCGGCGGTACGTGGCCAGGCAGGGGGAAGGGAGGGAAGGAGGGAGGGAGGGAGGGAGAGGGGAGGGGGAAGGGTGGGTGTCTGGCAGGAGTGCTGCTTGTTGTTGCTGCTCCGCTGAGCATGTGTGTGAGAGCATCACCTGTGTGCCCGCCTCTTGGCAGTTGCCGGCACTCCTCACTCCCCCAATTCATCAACCCCTTTTTTCCCGCCTTCTCCCCCATCCTTCCCCTCTTGCGCAGTGTTTGACTCGGAGGGTGGCAAGGAGCGGCCGGGGGTGCCCGCATCCAAGTCGCTGCGCCACTCGCACGTGCAGGGGAGGGGCGCCACAGGGGTGCGAGTGCTGCGCGGCCACAAGCAGCCAATCACAGCGCTCCACGCGGGCACGCGCAGCGAGCTGGGCGACCTGCTGCCGGACGGCGAGGACGGTGCGGGGTACTTTGTGAGCGGCAGCTGCGATACGAGTGTAAAGCTGTGGGACCCCAGCACCCGGGGGGACGAGCTGCGCGCCACCATGCACGGCCACACTGGGTGAGGCGCGGTGCTGAGTGGTGTGGCATGAAGATCCAAGTGTGCACTGCTCCTCTCCGTACTGCTTCTGCAGCCAGCTTCCTCCTCCCATGCAACCCCCTCCACCTACCCTGCCTCCCATCCACCCCTCTCTCATCACTTTCGTTCTGTACCCTCCCCCCTCCCCCGCCTCCGTGGCAGCCCGGTGCGGTGTGTGGGGTCGGACGCCACGAGGGTGCTGTCAGGCGGCGATGACAAGCGCCTGCTCGTGTTTGACAAGGCCACCGCTCGCATGCTGGCGGACCTGCGCGGCCACCACCAAAGTGTACGCATAGATTCACTCTTGAGGATTCCCACACCTGGCCCGCCCACCCCGCCCCGCCCCCCGCTGGGCGCTGTGGGGTGTGCAGTGAGAGCAGGGGGTTGAAGCATGGCGGGGACAAGCAGGGCAGGTGGTGCTGTATTGGGCTGCTTGGATGGTACGGGTGGGTAGGGATGAACAGGAGTGGGTAGGGTTGGCTGTGTGCTGCTGCTCGGTACTGCACTGTCTGTCTGCACCTCGTGCTCCTGGCACATGCACATGCACTCGCATCCCCACACTGGTCTTCTCCTAATTCACAATCCCACACTACTCTGTCCCACCCCTCCCCATGTCGCATCACTTCCCCTCCGGGTCCTTTCCTCCCCGCGCTCCCCTGCAGATCATCGCCCTGCGCATGCTACCGGGGCTGAACAAGGGCAGTGTGGTGACGGCGGGCAGGGAGGGGCAGGTGAACCTGTGGGACACGCGCACGGACCACATCGCCTCCACGCTCTTCACCTGCCCCTCGCCCCACATGATCCTCTCCCTCGACTACCTGGACCATGCTGGCATCCTCGTTGCTGCCGGCACCCAGGGGTGCGTCGTGGGGGTTTGAGAAGGGGAAGGGGGGAGGGAAGGGATGGGAGGGGTGTTGCGCAGTGAGGAGTGTAAGGACAGTGGGGGTGGTGGGGGGGGATGGATGTTGTGATTGGGTGGGGGGTGGGTGGATGAGGATGATAGGGTGAGAGCAGCGCACGGACCACATCGCCAGCACACTCTTCACCTGCCCCTCGCCCCACATGATCCTCGCTCTTGACTACCTGGACCATGCCGGCATCCTCGTCGCTACCGGCACCCAGGGGTGCGCCTAGAGGGCTGGGGGAGGCGGGGAGGAGAGGGGGAAGAGGGGGGATGGATGTGTTAGTGAGGACAGGCGGGATGGTGTGAGGGGGGGTGGATGGCGCGAGCAGAATGGGGGTTGGTGGACGAGGGTTGCAGGGTGGGAGCAGGGCAGGGACTTGGCAGGAAGGGGGCAGGCAGGCGTGGGAGGTGTTTAGTCCTTCCCTCCCGCCCTCTGCCTGCATGCCACGAGCCTCCTTGCCTTTCTCACTTCTCTAAAACCCGCCTGTGTCTCGCTCCCCTTGCCTTACATGCTGGCAGCATCTGCTACGTGTGGGACGTGCGGGCGGGCAAGGAGCGGTTTCAACTAGAAGGCCACACCAACTGGGTCAGGTAGGTGGCACCTGGGTCAGTTGTTCTGGGAACATTTGCAGTGATTCAATATAATGGAGGATGAGTCCATTCTGCATGCTGGCTGTTGACTGAGGTGGTGCATTTACACTTGCTCATCTCGCCCTCCTCCCAACCCACAGCCCCATCCGCATATCCTTTCCCACTCCGCACCCCGTCCAGCCCCATGTCTTCTTATGTACCTTCACTGCCACCTCCGCTTCTCCCAACTCTTTGAACCACCTCCCCCCACCTCCTGCACCATCTCCCTCCCTACACCGGTGCAATGCGGTGCAGAGCGGTGCGGGTGGCGGGGGACGTGGTGGTGACGGGCAGTGATGACTGGACGGCGAGGGTGTGGACGCTGAACGACGGCGAGTGTGAGGCGACGGTGGCGTGCCATGCGGGGCCCGTCACCGCCGTGGACTATGTCACGGCGTCGCGTGGCTTCATCACCGGCTCTGCTGACTGCACTGTGCGCCTCTGGGACCGCGGTGACGGTGAGTGAAGATGAGAAGGTGTGCACGTGAATTGCATTCTCTGACACACACGCGTCATCCACAAACCCATGCTATTGCTCACCTCTCCCTCTTGCCCTTCTCTCGCGCGCACCCCCTCGCTTCCCTGTCCTGCCCTTACCACGCACAGGGGTGCAGCCGCGCTGTGTGAAGACACTCACGAACCACACGGCGCCCATAGTGGCGGTGCGAGCCTCAGACCGCTACGTGACCATGGCAGCGGAGGACGACTCGCTCTCCCTGCTGCACCGCCCCTTCGCCGACCGCTCCTCGCCCTCGCTGGGCCCCCTAGGAGGGCCGGGCAGCATGAGCAACGGGGGGCGCGGCTACGTGGGCAGCGTGGGGGTGATGACGGACTGGCAGCTCGCCAGACACCTCAACCGCGCCCCCGACCTCGTGAGTGCTGCTCTCCCGCATGTGCCCCCACGTGGCAAGGTTGCGCCTAGGTGCTTCTTGCCACGCCTCACCTCACCAGGCAATGCAGCAGTGCCAGGTGGCACATGTGTTGCTGCGTGGCCGTGCATGTTCAAACACACCCACGTGCATGCACCCTCACTCCATTACCACCTCCACCCACATGTCGTGTCCTGCCATGTGGATTCTCAACGTTGTTGTGCTCTCAACGCAACCCCCCTGGTTGTTGTGCTGGATGCCCTCTGTGCCGTATGTGTGCGGTGCAGATCCGGCACGCGGCATGTGATGTGGACCGCGGGCGCATCTGCACGGGTGCTCGGTCAGGAGTGCTGCGCGTGTGGGAGCCACCCACGCCCCTCGCTTGACCCATCCAAACCCACACCTATCGCTAAAATCCCTTTTTCCTGTGACCAATACGCCTGTGCCTCTGGCTGGCCCCACTGCAAGCGTCGTGTGCCCAAGAGGCCGAGTTGAGCAGCAGCCCATCACCAAGGTCATGACATGGTACCAGCCATACAGCGCCTCAGCGCCCCATCTCATGCCAGTCTATTCGCCGCACCGTCATGCTCCCAGGGCTCTCTGAACACAACGAAATCACTGTAGTGCCAGCAGTCCCAGTCCCAAGATTCCTCCTCTCGTCACCACATGCCCATCCTCGCAGCACACGTGCGCCATCACTCCCCCTGCCACTACCCCTTGGGCCTTGCCCCTTCTTACTCCTACCATGGACCTGCCTCCAAGACCCATCCCCCTATACATTGCCGGATTACTTCTATGTAACAGTGCAGAGGGGTGGAACGTGGTCCTGCACTCTACTCGGGGATGCAGTGCAGTTCCTGAAGTCAAAAGTGCTGCATGTTCGAATCCCAGGGTCTGCTTAGTGAGCAAGGTAAATGCATCACTCAATGCAGCTACAGTGTGCACATCGTTTGCTTTGAGCGAGCATGCGTGTGATGCAAGTGATATGAATTAGCACTAGGTTGCTATAGGTGTCTGTAGGCCTGCTCTAGCTTATCAGTCTGCTTGCAAATCATGCATTTGGCATGCACCATGGGTTTGAAAGTGTACATGGCACAACCTTGTTAGATATTGTATCTGATTTCAAGGATAGAAAATATGCCTACATTAGTTCAGCCCTTAGTAGGGTAGGGTGTTAAATAGTTGCCTATGACTGAAGAAATTACCCGTTTGCACATTATATACACCACTGAAGACCAAGTGAACCACCACTTGAACCCGCACAGAAACTTGAGTTCAGCATCAGCGACCATCATGACAAACCATCAAAGCTAGGCATCCAAACACACCTCACCCTGCATCCGTTGAACACAGACGTGTGCCATTGACATCAATCCCCCCCGCTGTCAGCTCCTCATCAACCCCTCATCAGCCATCCAGCACTCAGTCGTCTCGCCCACCATCCTCCCCAGCCTGCCCCTGCCCTGCAGTGTGCAGCTTGGGGTGCACCACGTCCCTCAACCGCGCAAAGTCCACCCCCTGGAAGCGCGGGCGCGACTCAATGTACCGTGCCCCGTACGCAAAGCCAAAGCCCCACCCCATGCCCAACCCGACGCCACAGCCACCGCCTGGCAGGGTTCAGGGAGGTTGGGGGGGTTACCCAGACAAACGGTACAGTTATACTCACGGAGAGAAGACACAGTGGCATGCAAGAAGTAGAAGAAGCATAGACAGAAAGCGATGTGATCAAGGATGTGGATTGGCGTACACGTAACTTCAAGTCTCTTGGTGCGCAGCCAATAAACCAGCAAAAAAACAAGACTAGTCCTGGCAGTTTACAGGGGACCTCCTAGAAAGGGAGAAAACATCATACCGATTCCCATGCCCAGCGAGTTTATCGGCGCGCCTGCGATGGCAGATGAGGAAACACACCATGGCAAAGGCCAGAGTGAGCTCAAGGGTACAGAAGCTGTCTCACAAGCGCATGCTGGAACGAACCAATGACTCACATCATCAATAGCATGCACATCAATTGTCACATAGTGGAGCAAACAGGAAAAATGCAGTCACATAGCAATGCGCATTCGAAGCGAGAAGGCAATGCAGGGTACAGCTGGAAAAGGGAAGGAACTCAGAGTCGATGGTAAAACCAGAAACATAGAGGAGCACACAGGACACAGCTAGAGAAGTCAGGGTTGGAACTGCTTACCTCCAAACCCCCAACCAACGCCAAAGCCACATCCAGCACCAAATCCTGCCATACACACAAAGCGGAGGGGAAGGTGGGAGAGGGGGCGAAGGGGGTTGCGGGGGGAGAGGAGGGAGAGAGAGGGGATGGATGGATGGATTGATGGATGGATGGATGGATGGATGGATGGATGGATGGATGGATGGATGGATGGATGGATGGATGGATGGATGGATGGATGGATGGATGGATGGATGGATGGATGGATGGATGGATGGATGGATGGATGGATGGATGGATGGATGGATGGATGGACCGGAGGGACGGACGGACGGAGGGACGGACGGACGGACGGACGGACGGACGGACGGACGGACGGAGGGAGGGAGGGATGGATGGATGGATGGATGGATGGATGGATGGATGGATGGATGGATGGATGGATGGATGGATGGATGGATGGATGGATGGATGGATGGATGGATGGATGGATGGATGGATGGATGGATGGATGGATGGATGGATGGATGGATGGATGGATGGACGGACGGACGGATGGACGGACGGACGGACGGACGGACGGATGGATGGATGGATGGATGGATGGATAATTATATAAATACATAAATAACTAGATAGATGGAATGATAGATAGACAGATATGCAAACAGAGGGATAGAAGTATGGAGGGAGATGGAGAGGGTGGGGTATAAGGGTGCCACGAAGGAGCGGGAGGCAGACAAGAGATGACGAATCCACGGAGCCAGTGGAAGGAGCCAGGGGCGTGGAAACGGCAAAAAGAACGCAGGTATGCTACATGTACCAAAAAGCGGAAGGAGGAAGAGGGCAGGCAGGCACGCACGCAAGCAGATGGGTGAGCAGCATGCCGGAAACAAGTGGAACTTGGACAAGTGGGGTGACAAGCGGGAGATTGGACAGATATACAGGCATAGAAGGTGAAGTTAGGGACTTACGTGTGCAGGCAGTGGAGTGACAGGTAGAACAAAAATGAGAATTAGTCAGCATCTGGCGGCAAACATGTAAATTAGCAGTAAGTAACGTACCGAATCCCACTCCCCGACCCCCAAACACTCCCATCGTCATGCTGAAGACAATGGCGAACAAATAGGGAGTCAACTGGAAATGTTTCTGGCGACGTCGAGTTGCGGCGGAGCGTTATGTGGATGTGTAGTACTCCCACTCAAAGACGAAACGCTGATGCAAGTGCCTTCAGCTGCCGCGCCTATCTGAAGCTTAAAATTTCGCGGTTTTCGCGGACAGTCACATGCAGGCGACGTTCGTACATGCAAGCGAATATTCTATAATTTCTCGTTTCTGAAAATAATGTCTCAAGGTTCGTCGGTATCAGGAAAGCATCCGTATCAGCTTTATGCTAGGTAACCTTTGAACCGCGCCTGTTGCTGCGCTGCTCAGTACCATACGGAAAATCTTCACACCCTTTCGCGATTTGAATTACCTATCAAATCAAGGTGTTGTTGGGGGTGCGCAACATCGAGAAACCGCGCAACAGCATACATAAAAGTGATTGTCTAAAGTTGCCCACTCCCAACACCTATTGCAAAGAGATTGCGTTTTATCTTTAGGTCTTCGATTTTAGTGAATGAAAAATAATATGGACCATGCTCGCAATGAAATCGCAATTATTCGTATGGAACAAACAATCTTGACACAATGCATGGCTGCTCAACCTTATTCACATTGTTGAGTAAGACATGGTGGTGGCAACCATTCAACCAGTCTAGGTGACTGGCCTTATTAGAGATGCGGGGATGACAAATGGCGACTGCTCTGTGCCACCAACTGGTGAGTTCTGTTCAGCGCATTGAAGGTGGCAAGAGGGAGCACCATTCAGCTTTCATATCACCATCGCTGAGTGGGCCTGTTCCCACCTGGTATGGCTTGGCATGTTCCATCATCTCACTTGAGAACAGAGACCTGGAATGGCAAACAATGTTAAGAGTGCAATCAGAAGACCAAAGAGGACATACTGACAGACATAGAGAAACTCACTTCTTGACACTGCCATGCTCCAAACTTTGCCATTTATCAGTCACTCCCTTTGGCGTGTATGAAGGGCTTGGGGTACCAGGAGACTGTGGAGATGATGGGGTTGTTGAATCAGCTATAACTTTCATAGTGCCATGCCCCGTCTTGGCCTTGATACCACTGGCATGAAGCATCCTTTCGAATGACCCATCCTTCTCCAGCTTTGGCAGGGAATGCAGAGGCTGATGTTCTGGAACGGGAGTCAGGCCATCACGTATCGTAGAGTCGTCACACTCTTGGCACCCATCACCTTCTTCAACCACGCTCGGAAGTGCCTTGGACTTATTGCTGACAGAGCCAGCAACACAACCTGCTTGCACACCGGTGGCGATCCCAACTGCGGGAGCTTGCTTTTGAGGCGCCTTACTGTAGTAGACAGAATCTGGGCAGCTCTTCGCAAGCATGTTTTTCGCTGGTACTGCTGGCACATGCGATGGATGGTGAACTGGATGCTTTGTTGGCGTGTTAGCGGAGATCGATATAGGAGGACTAACAGCCTCAGTGGACGTGGGAAGTTGCTTCAAGATCCAAGGGTGAGACAGAAGATCCTCAGCTGATGGTCGATGACGGGGGTCCTTCTGAAGAGTCTGCTCACAGGGAGTACATGAGTTGAGCGCATCATAAAACAGGAAAATTGCATTTCTTTCCTACCTGCTTGATGAAATCCGCAAGCTCTGGTGAAACACGATGAGGCCAGACTCCAGCAATTGGAACGGCAGCTCTCTGAATCAAATCCTTGGTAAGGCTTCCATTCTTGCCAGCATTGAAGGGTGGCTCTCCAGTTACGACTTCATACGCCAGCACGCCACATGCCCTACGCGAAACAAGGAAGTGTAAGTAATACTTCCTTTATTTTCTGGTTAAGAAAAAAATCATGCATCTTACCATATGTCAACCTTCTCGTCATAAAGTGCTTGCCTCCTTCCGCTAGTTTCCCCCGGCCTTCTGAAGACTTCTGGGGCCATATAATCCAGAGTACCTAGCTGCGACATCGGTGGCTCCAGTCGTTGGTTGATGGCGAGCCCGAAGTCCCCAAGCTTCGCAATACTCTTGGACATGAAAAGATTCTCTGGCTTTATGTCTCGGTGAACGATTCCTTTTCCATGAAGAAGCTGAAGCGCTTGCAACAGAGGGAGCAAAACCTGCAAGAAG